TGTATCATAAAATAATAAAATAAATAAAAATTTACAAGAGTGTTTGCTTTATAGGTGCCAAGACATACTTAAAATCTTGTTAAAGTATTGTCTCATTTTAGACAGGTTTATATCTCTTTTCCAAAAAAAAGTGTTAACTTAAAATTTTTTTTATTGTAGTTTCATTATTCATAAAGCCTAAATGATCTCATAATTATTTCTCTAAACAACTTCGGGGCACACCTCTGATTTCTTAACACACTGAGACAATCAAGTATTCATATTCAGGAGAGAGAAACCATGTTTAGAGGAGAAAGTGTTTGATTTGTGTCATTAGAATATAAAACAGGCTGCAGCCATATAAAAATAATACACTTGCAAATTTAAATGTATTTATAGTAGATGTTCTAGCTGAGTGTGCAGTGCTTCAGTGCCAGAGAAACCGTATTGATGGGATTCAGAGAGTGACAGAATCCATGCGCTGAAACGCTCCTCAGGCCAGCGAGACAGGCTGCAGAAGGTCCCCAGAGGGGCGTGAGGGGGAGTTGGCCTGTGTCACACTCGCTGCAGGTGAGGGAGAAGCATCCCTGGAAGAAAGGAAAGATGCGAAGAAGCATTTAGATTCACTCATTAGCAAGCACAGTTTGTGTGTGTTAAGGACGTGGGCTCATCTGGAGGGACCAGGACAGCAGGGAAGCAGTGGAGGCTGACTCAAGGTCTTGGCTGCCGTACATCACACGGGAGACCTGGAAGCCTCCTGGCTCCTGCCTTTGGCATGGCATAGCCCCTGCCATTGCAGTCCTTTCTCGCTCTCTTTCTCTCTGTCTCCCCTTCTCACTCTGTAATTGCCTTTCAAATAAAAGTAAAAATTAAACACCATTTTCCTAGTGATTTTAAAAATTTCAAAATTCCCCCCTCTGTCTTTCACGGGGAAAAGGAACAGTATGAAATTAAGTTATTTCTGAAAAAAAAATCTGAGGGGAATTTGGGCATGTCAGGTGTTTTAGCTTGTTTTCTCTGCCCTGGGAAGAGCGGTGAGGCTGCAGACATTGCGGCTGGCTCCGTGCGCTGGCACGCCTCTCCTTCCCCTGGCTCCGCTCACACCCACTCCTCCAGCGTGCTGCTGACTGGGTTTGATTGGATGAAAAAGCTATAGCACCTGTGGTTTCTCGCTGCTGCCCTGCAAGGGTGACCTTTTCATCCCCTACCTCTTGCCTTAGTGCCTCACAAATGCAGCTGGTCTTCCCAGGATCCCGCGGGCAGGCGTGGGAGTGTTAAGATTCACCAGCCGACCTCCTGCAGGACTAAAATCTAGCCGCTGCCTCCTTGGGCTCTGACCCCACTTAGATGCTGTTGACTGGAAATTGCAGAGCATTCAGATGCAAGCTGTTTTACGAGCTTTTTTTCTTTGTCTCTCAGACACAACCAAATGGAAGCTGCTCGCTTGCAGCTCTGGGTCACAGTTGGGCTGTGGAGCACAGCAGTGAGTTCTAGAACTGCCTGACTTGGTTACAATGGGACGTGGGCAGAATGTGTTCTCCCCATTAAGGGCTCCTGCTCTCAGAGCACATAGGCCCGTGCTGCCTGGCCCGCACTGCTGCCACTGAGCAGCGGCTAGACTGTGTGCCTCTGCGCTCACCCCGTGGCTAATGGTAGCCCTCTGCTGATTTCCTATAGGCCAATCTCAGCAGACTGTGACAGTGATCCAGGCAGTGGCGGCAGTGGGCTGATGCTCCTGTTTCCCCAGCAGGCAGCCTGCTGATCCTGCCATCAGGAGTGCTTCCTCTCAGGGTCTTGGGCCGGAGCCACTTACTCCTGAGGCCCCTTCCTGCTGAGTGCAGTGGGCCTGGTGCAGACCCCCTGTGCTGTCAGGCTTTAGGCCAGGGATTGCTCGCCTGCGGCCTGACCCTTGGACTTCCCTTCCTGCCCTGGGGTCCCTAGGTGCAAGAAGCTTTGTAACTGAGAACTCTCAGGAAAGACCCCACATTGTAAAGCCCATGATGGCTGTTATTCAGGCTCACGGCATAATCTTCCTAACCATCTAAATCCTATAAAAAGCTCCTGGAAAGAGTAATGCGTATGAGTTGAGTTGGCATAGAAACAAAACAATGGAAATGCTGGTAAATGCCATGCGTTAGTCTTGCATGCTTGTCTGGGCAGTCATGTATAGATGAGTCCATGCTGTCTGTGACCATGCAAATGTGAGTCATCACTCTGCAAGTCTGCATCTTATGAGTTTCCTCACAGATAGTGGAAACATGTGGCGGACCCCTTCCCGGGATGTCTTACATACTCCCCTAATTATGGCTCTTATTTCTAACCTTTAAAAAAAGATTTATTGGGCCCGGCAGCTTGGCCTAGCGGCTAAAGTCCTCGCCTTGAACACACCTGGATCCCATATGGGCGCCGGTTCTAATCCCGGCAGCCCCGCTTCCCTTCCAGCTCCCTGCTTGTGGCCTGGGAAAGCAGTCGAGGACGGCCCAAAGCCTTGGGACCCTGCACCCGCGTGGGAGACCCAGAAGAAGTTCCTGGTTCCTGGCTTCGAATCGGCATAGCATCGACCATTGCGCTCACTTGGGGAGTGAATCATCGGAGGGGAAATTTTTTTTTTAAAGATTTATTTTATTTATTGGAAAGTCAGATATACAGAGAGGAGGAGAGACAGAGAAGAAGATCCTCCGCTGGCTGATTCACTCCCCAAGTGGCCGCAATGGCCTGAGCTGAGTCAGAAGCCAGGAGCCCAGAGCCTCTTCCAGGTCTCCCACACAGGTGCAGATCCCCAAGGCTTTGGGCCATCCTCAGCTGCTCTCCCAGGCCGCAAGCAGGGAGCTGGACAGGCAGTGGGGCCACCTAGACATGAACCAGTGTCCATATGGGTTCCTGGTATTTGCAAAGCGAGGACTTTAGCTGCTAGGCTACTGTGCCGGGCCCCTGTTATTTCTACTCTTAAAGATCTACCTTAATTTTGATTTTTTTTTTCCCCTCAAAGCTGTCCTTGAGCTTCCAAGACCTTGGCTTGACTTTATTCAACAGCTTATGCATGCTAACCTGTAATATTTTCTCATCTTTTTACCTGGCATGGCTCATTTTGAGTCATGCCTTTCTGCCTGGATGGAATCTCACTTTTTTTGTAGGACATGAAAGTCTGAGAAAATCTGTACACTTATGAATTCCCAGCCCCTCGGGTGGACTCACAGTGTGTCTGCTTCTACTAGGATTGAGGGGCCTACCAAAAACAACGGACAGCTGTGAAGTATATAAATTATGGAAGGATTTGAATAAAAGTCACACAACTGCCAAATTTCTTTTTTTCTTAAGATTTATTTATATTTATTGGAAAGGCAGATTTGCAGATGGAGAGGTGATACAGAGAGAAAGATCGGCGTCTCCTGGTTCACTCCCCAAGTGGCAACAGCCAGGTTTGAGTCGTTCCAAAGCCAGGAACTTCTTCCAGGTCTCCCACACAGGTGCAGGGTCCCAAGGTTTTGGGCTGTCCTCCACTGCTTTCCCAGGCCACAGGCAGGGAGCTGGATGGGAAGTGGGGCAGTCAGGACATGAACTGGTGCCCATATGGGATTCCAGTACAAGCAAGGCAAGAATTTAGGCACTGAACCATTGCATCAGAGCTGCAAATGCCAAATTTCAAGATAGCGTTTGAACTGGGTCCTTGATGCATTTTTCCTTTTGGCTTGACTCATTTTAGTCTTTATATTTATTGACTTGACATTATGTGCATGTGGCCAAAAAATTCCGAAGGTTCCAGGTTTCTGTCATAACAAAGCAAACTGGTAATTTAGTCATTCTCAAAAGGTTCTTACTTCCCTCGAAAAAGGCAGCTTACTCTCTGTCGTGTATTTTGTGTAGTGATTCTATATTAAAATCTTGGGATTTTTTAAAAAACCCTTATCTAATCTAGCTAAGTGATCACACAGGGGCCAGCTCATATATGTTAAAGGGCCTTAGTCTGAAGGTGCCTTGTGCATGCCCACTGCCCAGCCAGGTCCGGCCTGCACACCCTACTCAGATAGCTACAGTCTCAATTCCCTCCTTAACCCACCAACGCACTTCCAGGTCATCCTAGAGTAATCTATAGCAACCTTCCAAAACCTACAGAAGTCTTTCCTTCTGATTGAGTTTTGAGCTCAAGGATTCTTATCAATTTGTATCAGGTTGTCTCGTTCATTTTGGTAGTCTAAGGAAACCATTTTTAGTTTTTAAAGAATGATTCCAAACACCTAAAAGAAAATATACATGGTTATAAGGGGGAACATTTATATTGAAGTAATTCAAATTATTTGAAGAGCAAATTTTGATTAGTTATTTCATTCCCTTATTTTTTTATCTTATGTCTATTACAAAGGTGAAGCGATTTCAGACTGCGTTTCTTTATTAATACAGTAAATAGCAAATACTTCCCAGCAGATGTAGTAACTAGATAGGCATAATATCTATACTATGATATAAAAATACTCTTGGTTTGTTTGGTGATGAATCACAGGTCGTTTTAGGATTGGTGTGTTGCATACATTCATCAGCAAAGAAAATGCCAGATTTTAGTTGAGTTTCTAATGAAAATGAAGTGTTAATTTTTTGCTATTTGTATTTAGGAACCCCAGGTTAGCCCCTTTCCTCACTCCTTAGTCCGAATCTGCAGACTATAGGTACTCCTTTGTCTTTCTATGGCGACTTCAAAAAAGATGCCTGCCATGGCTGGAGCTAATGCAGGTCTTGCACCTGGGTAGCGGCAACCCAGTTACGTGTGCCACCCCCGCTGCCACACATGGCGTGCAGTAGCAGCACGCTGTGATCAGGTCAAGCCCTGGCATTCCCGTGTACTCTGTGCACATGGTAACCTAATGTCTTAGCTGTTAGGTCAAGTGTCCGCCATTATCCTTGTTGGCTTTACACCTTAGATCTGCTTCTCTGTGTGTGGACCGTGTGTACTGTACCATACAGACGGGAGACAAAACTGAGGAGCCTCTGTGTCTAACCTTGTGGCTCTGTTCTTTACATCTTTACAGGTGGAGGAAGGATGGTGGGAAGGTGTTCTCAATGGGAAGACTGGAATGTTTCCTTCCAACTTCATCAAAGAGCTGTCGGGAGAGTCGGATGAGCTTGGTCTCTCCCAGGATGAGCAGCTGTCCAAGTCAAGTAAGGAAGTCCACCCCCTCAGGCCAGGGAAGGGAGGGGCAGTGATTGGGCTGTGCTGTAACTTCCCTTCCCTTCCGTATCCTCTGCCGGGACAGAGGCTGTGACCAAAACTCACCAATATTTTCTTGGTTATGCTACCTTACTCCATTTGCAGCTCAGTAAGTCTCCCACTGTGCATTCTGTACTGCACCGGATAGGTGCCCTGCAGGCTTCATGCCATGGTAACAGGCTCCTGGGGTGGCCCACGTTGCTGTTTCTGGATACGCTTTCGAAATGTGGCTTACTAGCAGTTCATAATTATATTTACAATTGAACCAAAGTAGTTTGTCAACGTTTGTTAGCCTCCCTTGAGGAACTTGGAGGACAGTGACCCAAAAGAATTGGTGGCAGGTGATGCTATGAGGATAAGTGCATGCCAATTTCCTTCAAAATGACATGGTAACTGAGTCAGAGTCCAGATCCCACCGTGGGTGAGCATGTGTATCTGCGCAATGGTGAGAACGAACTTCAGGTCTTTCTTTCTCCAGGGCCTGAAGGTCTCCCTCCAGCTTCTCTGCTGCCCTTTCCAGCTCATGGAGCCAAAGGTCAGGACCGGGAAGCTTTGTTCTCCCAGTCGCTAACCCACCTTTGCACGTGGGCGTCTGTCTATCTCTTGTACCGTCTTGAGCCAGGGTCATGGGTGTGAATGTTGTAGGAGACTCGACTGTGTCTTGATGGTGCGGCATTGCCTGGGCTTGCAAACGTTGCTGTCTGATGAGAGGAGGAGAGCTTTGTCGTGCCAAAATCATTGCAAAGGATCTTCCTGTTTCATTTGGGAAAAAAAAATTGACTTTAGTACTGGTCTCTTGTTAGCTTATATCTTTTTGTGAGGGTACTTGGAAAATTCCTGGCACAGTTGAATTATAACATGAGTTTATTTTGTGAAAAAAAAAAAAAAGTGTTACAAGCCATGCATTTGAAGGCTCTGTGAAAAGCTACACATGGAATTCACTATATTTTTTGCACTCAACTCAATAAACTTATCTTTTAATTCAGTTGTGTCAGGGACTTTTTGAAGTCCCATTGTGTTTGTGACATTGGACAAATACCCAGTTTGGAGGTGAAGTTGTTTCCCAAGAAGTACACAAGCACCTGCCTTCGTGTGGTGTCTCACTTCAGCATGCCATACAAACTGTAGCACTGGCTGATTGGCCCAGGGGCTGCGGCAGTGCCCCTCCTGTGCCAGGGACTGCAGCTTTCCTGCCTTTGAACCCAGCTTTGTCCCAGAGTGTACGGCCGGCAGGCCCAGAGGGTGTGTTGGAGCAAATGAGGTGTCTCGGCGTTCTTGCTACTCTCCCAGACGTGAATCCTGGACACGGCCAGGAGAATGAGTGGGAGCCAGAGGCCAGAGGTACCTCGGTCCCAGAATGGCAGGAGTTATGGTAGCTAGAATTCTAGCTTCCCTGATGTTGTTTTTGGTGCACTGGAGTAGTGTTGTACCTGGTAATCAGTTCTGTGATAGCAGCACCGTATCTCATGGGTACCGTGGGTTAAATGGGCTTGTTGGAAAGGAGGACTGAATTGCTCAGTGGTTAATATTGTGTTCCAGGAAGCATCATGCCTGGCCTTGGATTATTTACTAATGCGGAGAGGGAGGTCTGCGGAGGCCTTGGCCTGTCTCTGGGACAGCCTTGACTTCCGGCATCCCTGCCAGCTACACTCCTGCCCCTACACTCTCCGAGCTGGAGGGTCAGCGAACCAGTGCCTCGTGTTTTTGGATTACTGAAAGAAACTGGTCAGTAAGGGCCAGCTGCTCCTGCCTGACCAGTCAGCTCAAAGCATTTGGCACCGGAGTGCCCTGATGAGGGCAGACTGGGTGGCTTTGTGGAACAGTCGTCCAGCCTTTTAGCCTTCCTTTCCATCCGTGAAAGTTTCTCTTGTAGACACATGGCACTGCTCCCACATTCACTCATTTAAGTGCCTTCGGGTCCTGGACTGGGTGAGCCCAGTGGTGTGAGCTGAGCGGCGGGGCTCCCGTGGAACGTGGCCGTGCTCTCCTGACAAGTGTGCATCCTCCTGTGTGTGCCACCAAGGCAAGGAGAGCACTTTACCGCATCTGTCTGTCCACAGGCCCAGATCTGCCCACCCTTCTTTCTTCATTTTCGCCACCTCCTATTCAGTCTTTGTCGAGCCCTATTGTTCAGAAGGTTCTGCCAAGGCGCTAACAGCACACAGTGGTGAGCCTGCCCAGAATGCTGTCCCCAGGGAGCTTACATTGCGGAAAGTGAGTGTCAAAGGTGCTGGAAGTGGTCAGGGGCCTGCTGCTGTGTGTCTGGGCAGCAGCAGGTTACAAAAGCAGGCCTTCCCAAAGGGGCCAAAGGCCATGTCCTTGTAACTTGCTAAATTGAAATAATCCCAGAAAGGGAGAAACAGCTCCTCTCAGTGTTGTGCCACGGTTTTGAGAGCTGCCTCTGCATACATGGGACTGTGTTAGAATTTGTATAATGAGATCAGATCCCATACAACGGTAGGATTTGTCTGTGTTGAACCTTTGCTTTTACAATGAATGAGCTTGTTCTCTAACCCCACAGAGTGGTGGTTACAGTTTCGATGTGCTTTGCTTAAAGAAGAAACGTTTTGTTTTGAAATAATTGCTGATTCCTAGGAAACTGCAAACTTAAGCCCATGACTGCGCAGGGATGTCCTGTGCTGCCTTCCCTCAGTTTCCCCAGTGACAATATCTTGTGTAATTCATACTAGGTACCTGTTTACTTTTATCATATAATTGAAAAACAAACAAAATGCAGTCAGCACACAGAAAGACACGTCATCGTTTGCTTTGACTCTGGTATGCACTCTAGTGTAACTCCTCGGGGTCTTTGACAGCAGCCCATTTGGTGCTAGTCACAAATTATAGTTAATTTTTCCACAGTGATTACTTAATTAATATATGGCTCTGGGATTACATTTTATTTCTAATGCTGTGCCATATTTTTAACTTGCAGAGACCATAATGATATCATAAAACCCCTCATAAATGCTATCAGATACTATGGTGAGGTTTTTTTTTTTTTCCTAATACTGATAAAATCTTTATCCTACTAATATAAGGAAAGCCTTTTGTATAATGAGTCTTTGTACATCTCTTTGCTTCTGATACACACACACACACACACACACACATCTCTGTATGTGTACATGTTTATTTGATATTCATGCTCTTCATATTTTTACTTGGAGAAAGTAGAAAGAACGTTGATATTGTATTTGTAAAGGAATACTCCATGACTGCTTGGAGAATGAGAAGACTTGCATAACTGCTTCCTGAACTCTTTATCACTCCAAGCAGACATTTTGATCTTCGAATGACAGGTGAAAATTGCTTGAACTTGCTTTCTTCAGACTCTGATATATTTCTACATATGGTGGTTATAAAAAAATCTCCAAAACTTCTTAGGTCTTTGTTCAGAGCCATCTCATCTGTCAAGGAGTTACAACAATCGTATTGGCCGATTTTTTTCTAAAGCATTTTATCACAGAAGAAAATTCATAGCTATGTAGTAGCAGGAACATTTAGCTGCATAATTAAACTTTAAAATATCTTTGCTCTTCACCGAACTTATGAAGCCTTAAATGTAATTTTTGAACAGATTTTAATGAGCATTTTATTGGAAAAATTGTAACATACACAAAAGTCACAGTGCTGTAGCAAACCCCCCGTGCACTCATCATTCAGCTTCAGCAGTTACCAGCCCATAGAGTCCTCCCACTTGTCATCCAGATTGATATCATTTCCCCCATAACTTCATGAGAGTGTCCGAAAATGTCATCATCTCACACACAAACTGACAGCAATTTCTTATGATAATTAAGCATATGGTTTATGTTCACTTTCCCCTAATAGTTGTCTTTTAATTTTTTTTGGCTGTCATTTAATTTGAATATAAATCCAAATAAAATCCAGACATTGTGATTTGCTGATGAATCTTAGTTATTTCTTTTTTGTCTTGCAATTTTTTTTTTCTGCTGAAGGGCCTGAGCAGTTTGTACAGTAGTATCCCAGTCTGGCTGTTGCTGTTGTGTGCCTGCCCCGTTGTGTAGGGAGTGGATTTGGTTTAACTTGGCTGTGAGCGTGTGTTTTTTGTGCTCCTGCTTCCTGGGTGGTGATGGCTAATCCCTGTGCGGGTGCTTCTGTCGGTTTGTTTTGCTTTTTCAGTATTAGCAGCCAGTGTTTATCACCCAGGTCTAGGCAGTCATCAGGACATGAAAAGTGGTGCCAACCAAGAAAGTTTCTCCCAAAGAAAGAAGTAGACTCTGGTGTAGCAGATCTAAAGTTTACAATAATAGTAGCAGTAGTAATAATAATTATAATATTGTAAATAGATAAACTAAGTTTAGTAAATTTGCTTTTTTTTTTAAAGATTTATTTATTTATTTATTTTATTGGAAAGGCGGATATTACAGAGAGGAGAGGCAGAGAGGAAGATCTTCCATCCGATGATTCACTCCCCAAGTGAGCGCAACGGCTGATGCTATGCCGATCCGAGGCCAGGAGCCTCTTCCGGGTCTCCCACGCGGGTGCAGGGTCCCAAAGCTTTGGGCTCCCGGGCGTGCAAGGCGAGGACCTTAACCACTGCGCCACCACACCGGGCCCGTAAATTTGGTTTTTAAAAAGCAAATCATTCAAGTGGTTGTATTAATAATATAGAACAAATCTTTTGACATTAGGAATGGAAAGGAATTTAAGGATTAGTTAGTCCACGGTCAGGTCACAACACAAAGCCAGTGAAATGGTGTTGTACGTGACCTGGGGCCAGAATGACATGCGGTCCTTCCTCACACATTCTGCTGTCACCTCGGCCATTAGCACAGTTCATGATCATGATCAGCTAATTGCCTTTTCAAGTTCAATTTTGTAATGTTTTTATTGTCTAAATATTGTGAATTGGTACAATTACCAAGTATTATAATCACAGAATATCCTGACTGTACATTCCATTTGCACTTAGTGGCAATGACTTTTCCTCAGTTTCATAATATTTTGTCACACATTTAAGGCAAAAATGTGTCTTTTGTGTTTTTAACATGTTTTTGATATTCAATTGGAAATAATTACATACAACTAGAAATATTCATTTACAAAATTGTTCCTCCAAAAACATTTTCATTTATTGTCCATGATCTTCAGAAGGAAGAAGCTCACATTTTGTTTCTAATACTGTGGGCTTTCAGTTTGAATTGAATTTCTCATTTTCCTCGTCCTGTATTTTTAAAAAGTAGATTCTGATATGCAGTGACTTGCCAAGCTAAGACAAAGAAAATGGCTTTTGCAAACACATGACAAACTTGTCCCATAATGCAGAAATAGTATTTCATTAACTATAAGCAGCAAATTACTCACTGGTCCTCAAGCATTAAAAAGAGAAGCCAGGCTGATCCAGTGCACTCCGTGGCCTCGCTGGACCCTGTTCTGTATGATATTAGATAACGCTTGTGCATGATGTTCTCTTAACAAAGAAGAGCAGCTAGCGAATTTATAAAACAGGCTTTCAGGCAAAATGAGATGTTTTCATAAATACATGATTTTGTGTTCAAATTTTAAAATTCTTCCCTTTAATAGTGTTTGTTATGACTAATAATGATGGTACATTCCCTCCCCGCCAGCCCTCACCAGATAACTATCAGTCATTGTTGCAACCTTTCCAATTGCTCATCTCTCGGGCTCTTCGGTTAGAGTCCCTGTGTGTCCTCGCCCACCCCAGCCCGCCAGTGGGCAAGGCACTTCACAGAAGGCCTGACTAGTCACAGACTTCAGGGTCGTGGTCTACTTCAGTGATTCTCACACTTGACCCTAGGGAAGAATACATGGAGATTCTTTTGCACTTGAAGGACCATTGTCAAGATAAATGATGTTTTCTCCTTCCCCCTCCTTTTTTCTAACACTGTGGTGGTAACTGCTCTTCTGTGTTGGAGGGCCTTACTCATAGCATGGCTGTGTTGCTCAGGAGTAATGTTGACTTGATTATTAAGGTTAAGCAAAGTACAAATTTGTCCAAATAAAAACCAATTGCTGTTACTTGCTCTGTGTTTGTTATCAAAATCCTCAAGAGCTGGGAATCTAACAAGAACATTTGCAACACTCCTTGATGTTTCTTTGGGATGTTCTGACATAGCCAGCCGTGGTTTGAGTGCGTCAGGTTTTGTTTTAATTGAACAGAGCATACCTGATGAAAAGGACGGAGTTTAAAAGAAGCGTATACCACCATCATGTTACAGAAATTGGAAACACTCAATGCCTCTCTAGTTTTTGTCTGATCATTCCTGATTTCCTGCATCTATTAGAAGTGACAGGGCCCAGACGCTGTCACATGGTGTTCGTGTTGGGTTTCCTGTTAGCACGTGGAGTGCTGCTGAGAAGAGACACATTGCACTGTCCTCTCTCACTTGCCCTCTCCATAAATGTACCCACTGTTTTCATCTGTTGCACTTACTAGGAAGCTGTATGACTGGTCTCCAGTTTGAGTGTGGAACCAATGTCTTAGATAATTTGGAGTAATGTATATATTAATTGAGTTTGCCTTTAACAAATAATTTCACCAACTGTTGATGTTCTCTGTACAGTCTGTGTATGGATGCATGTGAGTGTCCACTGGTGGGTGGGTAGATGTAAGCATACTCAAACTCGGCAATGTGTGTATTCTGTATACTTACTTACGGTTCCAGAGATATTTGGGCTTTAGCCTTGTGCTCAGTGTCATGTTATTGACAGCCTCTACTTCTATCAAGAAAAAAATGGTAATTGGACTTTTGATACTGGGGTGAGTCCTGTGTCCTTATGCTCAAACACTGTCTCATGACTGATAAGGCAAAACCTCAATTAAGATGTTCCAGGAAATAGGGTTTTCTGGTACCCTTGGTACCAAGGAGAAAACTCCTTCCATTGGCACAAATGTTACTGTTGGTTACAAACCTGACTGGTAAAACTCCCTCTCTAGTATATATTAGTGCATTTACTTGCTGAAATATAGTGAAGCTGACCAGTCTTTGACAGAGAAATCTGTATCTTACTTAGAATCTTGAGGGTGTGAAGATCAGTTTTCATCATATAGGGTCCTAGGGACTCCAGCAGATAAAGAACAATGGTCCTGAATCCATATCCTGTTTAGGTCAGATCCTCCAATGAGAGGATTGCCCTGTGCAGTTGAGTGAATCCTTGGTTAATTGAGGTTTTCCTTTTCTTGAGTTACAGCATTGAAATAAATGCCTTCCAGGTTTTAACTGGGCATAATCTGCATGCCCATCAGTTGCAGAGGCCAGCCCCTAATCTGGGTGCTCAGTGCCATCGTGTCTGCTTGGGGACTTTGGGTTCAATCAGCAACTTCCCTAAATTCTGCCTGATGGTCTCTAATTGATTTTATGGATGAAGTTCTTGCAGTGGACTCATTGAAGGCAAGTTCAGTTAAAGACTCTTCCTCTTCCTTCTTTTGCCATCATTTGCTCCCCCTTCCCCCTCTCTTGTTTTTCTCTCCCCTTCTCTTCTCTCATTCACTGTCAGGAAAGACTACCTTTGAAGGGACAATTCTGTACCGAGCTGCACCGGGAAAGACGGAGGGCCACAGACGCTATTACAGTGAGTGACCTCAACAGCAGGAGATGATTGTGAAGATAAGATCTGGGAACTGGTGGTTTTTGATGCAGCTGCCCTATCCTGAGCTGCTCGCGCTTATGCCACGTGTCTTTGTGAATTTCTGATCCAAGGACATGGACTTATTTTGCCCAAGATAAGTGCCATCTCCTTGGTGTATGCTACAGGAGCCTTCCCCCCATCAGTCCCTTTTGCTTTCTTGTTTGCTTTGTGCCTCTATCATGCGTGTGACATGCGTGCATGAGCCATGCGTGCAGGGAAGGGAGCAGTAGCATTTGTATGGCATATGTATTTGTGCCAGTATCTCTGAGATGGCTTCCCACAGAAACATCCACCTCTCGTGGTAATTGCTTTCTTTGTAGTGGTCACTGGAAATCAGTAAGCCATTTTGTCATTGCGTGGTCCAGAGAAATAAGATTTTGGCATGGAAGTCCATGCCAGAAATGGAATTTTGCTTTGCTCATGCAGCTAATCACCACACAGCAGACTTCTCTGGGCAGCATCAACGTGCAGCCAGCCTTTTGTGTTGTGAAATAAGGCTGTGTCAAAAGTCGAGCTGAAGGAGATGAATGAGATGAATGCATTAATCTCATAATGGCCTTTGAGCAGTTCAGCCACTTGGTATATACTACACATGTATGTGACATTAAAAGCAGAAAAAAGTGACTCATGGATCTGAACAGATCTGTGCTGGAAGAATAGGGTAAATTACAACAAAGTGGACAGTTGCAAGACTGGTGGAAACAAATTTGCAGAGGCTTTGCTTTCCTCCCCTAGAAGACATGCATCCACCTTAGAGTGCATATGCACACATGCTCATATGCACATGTGCCCCAGTGAATGTGATAAAAGAGAGGGTTCCAACCTGAGCACCAGAACTGCGCTGCTTCTGTCTCTGTTCATGGTTTTCTTTCTAGTCCACCATGGACAGATGCATGGTCCTCCTGCATAGGACGTGCTCCACACGTGGTGTTCTGGCCTTACCATGGGAGTTTGCCAGCGCCTGGACGGGTCTGTGTCCTGTTCACCTAGCTAGATCTCCTGGCCACATGCCCAGATGTCTTGCCAGTGCACACTGCTCAAATGCTAAAGTTGCTCCCAAACATGCACAATTTCTGCACTTACTCACTGCATAGTGGTAATGAGTCCTTCGTGAACTGGCCCAGGCTGTGGTTGACACGCTGGGCCGCACTGCCTGAGAGTGCCACCTGGCTTGGTGAACATGAAGTGGGTATGTTTTACTGCATAATGTGCATAATTGGTACTGATGACTGAAAGATACGACACCAAAGACACATGAAAATGAAGTCACCTTTCTTTCCCTCCAAAAAACAGGAACTATATTTTGAATTATTTCACCAATGCAGGTATTTAAAAACTTAATTTTCATACTTACAAGCAATAGAACCAGACCTCCAGAGTTTCTGGAAGAACAATCTGCCGTGTATTTCCTTCCCAGGTCATGGTTGTATGGTTGAATGACTATGCAACCTCCACCCTTATAGAGCATAGCATTTCCCTCCCAGTGATTAATCCAATGTTATTAAGACCATCTCCAAAGGCAGCAAATCACCAGAACCAGAAGCTCTGGGAAGTTAGGATGACAGTACTGGAAAATCCTGTGGTTCTGGCTAACGGGGATGATAGAAAAACCACCCTGCAAATCTCTCCACTTGGAAAGCTGACCCGTTCGCCCTGCTGCTTCCTGGTGATGCTGATGGTCTGCTGCACATGTGGGAAGAGGGCGGGTGGTTGGTTTTTTTTTTTTTTTTACCACTAACCTTTCTTTTACTCTCTAATGGTTCTACCCAAACCAGAAAGGGATATACAGGCCGCCTGTCACATAGAAAGGGCCCCATACTGCAGAATGAGAACATGTTCATGGAACAGTGACAGATTTTCAGGTTCCAAAAGAGTATCTCCAGCAGAGATGTCACCAAAAGCAATAAGCAGATAAATACACAGCTGGGTAGCTAGTCCCAGGGCTCCCCATGTTTGCACATGCAGGTGCTGGTCTGTGGGTTGCAGCCAACCCCCCGGGCTGTGGCCTGGGCCTCATTGTTCTGTCCTCTGTTCCTGCTCACGAGTGTCCCAGGGAGCTTCCTCCTCCCCTGCCCTTTTGGCTCAAACATACCGCTTCATGAAAAACAGCAGCAACAGCTAATGAAGCCATTGTTTAAGGAGTTGACTTTGAATCTTGCCAGCAATTTATAATCACCTTTCTGTATTTTGTGTGTTTTCATGTAATAGTTTCTTCCTGCCCTAAGAGTTCTGTATTTGGGTGACCTCAACATTTTGTGACATGTTATGTGAGCAATTATTGGATATATCCTCCTTAGGGCTTAGGAGGAAGCTTCACCTGTGGGAAGATGATGCCCAATTAGCTTCTAGAGAAGAGTTTATTAATATGCTTTCATATCGGGGCATCTTTATGATCCGGAGACATGGACTACTCCCAGCATCTAGAGGTTTTTAGTGGCAGGTTTAATGACACAATCTAATATTCCATAAACTTTCCTTTGCATCCCACCCTTTGATGCCCCATCATTGGGTGAATGCCTACCCTGAATTAACTAAGCATCAGTAGGCTCTTCCTTATAAGGTTGTGATGGACAGAGCCCGGGGAATACAGCAGTCTAGGGAGGTGCAGTGTCCGTATTGTCTCACTGATAACTATTTTGTGCCTTCCCACGTATGTCACAAGAGGTCAGACGAAGAGGGGCATGTCTGCAGTGCTCCTGGCAGTGGGCTTCAGCTTTGGGAAGACGATGGTGCTAAAGGAGAAAGAATGTGGGCCCTCTGGCCTCCGGGAGGGCAGCTCCTTTTCCCTGTTGAGCAAACACCACGACCTTGCGAGTGAAATCGGCTTCATGTTAAGTTCGGTTCACTGATTTCCTAGAAAGATGTGTCTGCATGCAGTTATTTCTTGTGAAGCCCTCCAAAGAGATTTAATTCTTTGGCAGTCATAATTTTGTGTGGTTTCTTTAATTGCTAATTTGTTTAAATGGCTTTTAGCTTTACAGTTTCCCTTTAGGAAATGCTCCTTTCATTGCTAATTGCTAATTGACATGAGTCAGAGAGATTGGAGGTACAGTATAAGGTACTGACTGGGTAGGGAGGCGGGAGGGCGTGGGAGGGCGGCTGTTGCATAGGTTACAGCAAAAACAGCCTGGGATTGCAACCAGGCTGTGGCTGAAGAGGGTGAAATTTCTCGTGTGCAAAGAGATCTGCTTTGGGGTTAGATTTTCTGCAAAGTTGTTTTTGATTGTCTGCTTAAAATTAAAGGCTGAGGGTGGTGATGGAAGGTGATAAGAAAACACACACACAGATCCCAGAGCCAGCCCTACTCAGCATTTACTGAAGACAATATACATGTCCAGTGCAAGTTATCCTGTACCCAGTGACATTCTGAAAGGTCACACGTGGCTGGTGATGAAGTTGCTCAGGGCACTGGCTGACCACTGAGTTCTTTCTCTCCCCATCCCCCATTTTCACAGGTCTAAGGGAAACCACAGGCTCCGAGAGCGACGGGGGTGACTCGAGCAGCACCAAGTCAGAAGGTGCCAATGGCACGGTAGCGACTGCAGCTATCCAGCCCAAGAAAGTTAAAGGAGTGGGCTTTGGAGATATTTTCAAAGACAAGCCAATCAAACTGAGGCCGAGATCAATTGAAGTAGAAAATGACTTTCTGCCAGTGGAAAAGGTAGGTTTGCCTGGTCCTGTTTTATTTTGATACAGCATCGGAGATCTCCAAAGACATGGTTGGTCTCCACGTAGGAAGCTTGCGTGGCCTCTTGGAGGTTTTGGCAGCCTCACGTGCTTGCTGCTGGTCCTCGCCCCTTTTTAGTTTGAGCTCTTCCTGCATGTGGGAGAAGCTTCCCCACAGGGTTCTTGCTCGGCTTAGCTGCGTCCTGTCTTACTGATCTCTCTAGGGACTGTTGCTTCGATGGCTGTTCCAGTGAGTCAGGGCTTCTGTGTCCCCATTCCCTAAGACACGCCCTGCCCGGCCTCATGAGCGTAGCGCCTTCTGATAGCCACCGGTCCGGCTCATGCTCTTCTCCCGGTGCATGTGCCATGTGCTGGGCGCTCAGGTGCATTAACTTTGTCACTGCAGCAAAGCAAGAGGATGGAGTGTTCTTCCTGTGATTTGAGTTGGCTGGAGACAATCGCAGCCTGCAGCTGGAAGTCCTCTGCCTGTGTGACTGATGGAGAGGCCTCTGTTGTGGCTCCCTGGCTGGCTCCCATCAGGAGGCGGCTGTTTTCTTCTGCCTCTGGCTCTGGCTTGGCAAGAGGCAGCCAGCATGTTGCTGCTGAGTATGCCATTGCCCTAGCAACACACCCTGGGCCCTGGTGCCTGTGGCTGCCTGTGACGTCTACTGTGGTACACTTCTAAGCATCACAGCCTTGCTGTGGAGTTGATAAATACTGTGGAAATTTACAAGTTTTAGTAAGTTGCACTCGTACTGTGCTTAAGGGACATTCATTAATTTGATTCACTGGTGCAAGTGTCGCTGGGATATTAGTGCCAGCAGGCTTGGGGGATGGGACAATGGTAACGTCCCTAATGTGGGTTGTTGGTAGCTTCTGAGTGTTTCCATTGTTGGCTGAGATGCAGTTTGGAAGCTTGCATCATCTTCTGCAGCTGTAGCCCTTCACCCCCACCCCAGCCACTGAGCCCAGTGTCATGCTCATTAGAAACAAATTCTGAAAGGGCAGCTTTTTGAGCACTCAGTCCCCATAGAGATGAATAAGGCAGAAAGGGCAGAAAACTAGCAACAAATGCCCGAGTCACTTATACTCTGCTTCTGTTGAAACTTGTGCGGGTCAGCATTGTTCGTTTTAGACATCGATGCAGGTTATCTCTCAGAATGTGAGAGTTAGCTAGTTGGTGCACTGGCTTGCAGACTCGCTTGTGTTTCACGTGGCTGCCTCCAAATTCCTGGCGATATTTACGGAAAAGCCTTGCTCCCCATTTGGGGAAGGAACAGCGGATACGGTTTGGCTTCATTTTATTCAGCTGGTGGAGATAAGCATGACCATTGTCTCAGCATATAATTGATTCCTTTGTATGTTTTATGATTCTTGATCATTTTTCTTTGTGTAGGCAAACCTCCTGTGTGTTCATTTGTCTTAGCTGCCAATGATAATTGAGTTTTTAAAGATGTAGTTAATTAGAGACAGACACTGATCTTCCATTGTTGATTTGCTGCAACAGCCCAGTCTGGGGCAGCTAAAGCCCAGAGACAGAACATGCATGGATGGTAGGGGCCAAGACACCTGGGCCATCCTCCAGTGCCTTCCTACGAGTGTTAGCAGGGTCCTGGATCAGAAATGGAGCAGCTGGGACTGGAACTGATACTCCAGTATGGAATGCTGGTGTTATGGGATGGACACTGGTTCATATCCCGGCTGCTCCATTTCCCATCCAGCTCCCTGCCTGTGGCCTGGGAAAGCAGTAGAGGATGGCCCAAAGCCTTGGGACCCTGCACCCGCGTGGCTCTAACACCTTTGTTAACTTCTGTGGCTGTGTATGTGTTGATCTCTTTCTGAACTCTCCATTCTGATCTTTTTGCCCTTGCACCCAATCTATACTGCCTTTATCTTTATTTAAGTACACTGGAATGAAAGAAATCATAAGAGAGAAAGCTCTGGGAGTTTTTCTTGGGTTTGCATTGACTATGTCGATACCTTTGACTAAATTGATATTTCTCACCTACATGGTATATTCCTCTGCTTCTGTAGTTCTTATTTCCCTTTGTGACATGTCATCAATTGTGCAGCTCTCTGTGCAGTGTTGTTACTGAGGAAGGCATAGTTGGAGGCTGCAGGTTCATGCGGGGGCCAGATGTTTGCACATTGCACACTGATCCCCCAGCATGCCAGAGTCCCCTCTCCCAGCACAGCAGTGCTGGGTTAGCCCAGGCTCCTGTGCCCTGGAAGAACAGCAGAGAAGACAACTTGCACAAGGAGGAAAATGCACTGAAATCCACCAGTCACATAAGATGCTTCCCCAGCCCAGAGAGGGAATAAAGGGACAGAGTATGCACTTAGGTCTGGGTATTGTCCATTTGAACTCCCTTTACAGGGAAGGAAGCATCAGATTGAGGATGTTCTGTCTAATGGGTTGAAGCATCAGAGGGAAACGACTGGCATGGGGAGAAGTTTCGAAGGTAGAATCAAGAAGCCAGGTAATATGTGGAGCAGAAAGAAGTCTTCAAGGTGATGCCTTGGGCCGCTGATTTAAGCAGCTTGGATAATGGCCATTTTAAACCCTGATTAGGAAGCATTGGAGGTGGGGCAGTTCCCCCAGCAGGTGACTGGAGAGGACACCAACTTCTTGGAGTGACATTGATCATATTGTCCAGTCCTATTGCCTGAGGCAGGACCCCCTGCAGTCCTCAGACTTTGAGTCTGGCCGCGAATGATGGTGGGGAACCAGGTACCCACCTAACCCTGTGAAAGAACAGCACATGGCTCCCATCCCACACCTATCATGGTGTGCAGCAAATAATGGAGGAAGCACCATCTTAAGGAGGCAAGTAGAAGCTTCTGTGGCCTGTGCATAGCCTGATGCTTTTCTCTAAAAGAGGAGGTTGTGGTCGCCACTGCGAGTGTGGCTTGGAGGGGCAGCATGGAGCAGGCTGCTCCCTTAGGCTTGGGAAGTACTCCTCCGCTCCCTGTCCCAGGCTCCTGGGTGTGGTTTGCCAAGGCGGAGCACCAACCAGCAGCCTTGGAGAGGAGCTCAGAGCTAGCAGGGCTGGGCCAGACCAGGGTTGGGACCGCATCTTCGCGCAGTCCCCATATCTACCTTCAGACGCTCTAGGCCCCCAGAATGCCGATGGCTTTCTCACTCTGGCTAAGGAGTACTCACCTGCTTGGAGCAGGACACTCGCCCTGGGCAGTTGGTTCACCTTGGCAGAGAAGGATGAGACTGATTGCACCAGCCGACACTGATATACCTGCTTCCCTCCCGAAGAGACAGCTAGCTGTGGCTCTGCTCCCAAGTGCTGGCCAGAGCTCCCTAGCCCCATCTAACACGTGCTTCTGGATCCTGGCCAAAGGATAAAGAAAAGATGTTTAGGATCACTAGCCGTCAGGGAATTGCAAATGAAAACCGTACCCCAGTTTAGAATGGCGAAAGGAAAATCACAAACACTATTCAAGATGTGGGGGGAAGGTGCCCTAATAAACCATTGGCGGGAAAGTAAAGTTGCACAAATATTACGGGAGACAGTAGGGCAATCCCTCCGACAGCCGAAGAGAGACAGGAAAGTAATCATTCCACTCCTGGGAGTTTTCCCAGAGGCAGGGAAAGCCCCACGTGAAAGAGTTTTCTGTTCCCCCATGTTAATTGCAGCTTAACTGATAGTAGCTAAGATAGGGGACCAACTCACATGGCCATTGACTGATGACTAGATAAAGAAATTGTGGGATACCAGTCATTCATGAAAAAGAATGAAATCTTGCCTTTTGCAACAAAATGGATGCAACTGAAGAACATTATATTTATTGACATAAATGTGCTTCAGTGCAAAAAGATAAATATAAGATTTGTGGTAACTAATGTAGTGTAAAAAAGTATTGTGTATGAGAGAAATTTACATTTTGAGCTTTGATTATTGTTTCTATTCCTTGTCTATGTTCTTAACAGTGGGTTTTTCCCACTTACTACTTATAATTTTTTTTAAAAAAAGTTTATTTATTCTTAAAAGAGAGAGGGAAAAGGAGAGACCTACCATCTTCTGGTTTACTCCCCAAATGGCTGCAATGGCCAGAGTGGGACCAGTCTGAGCCCAGGAGCCAGGAGCCTCCTTGGGATCCCCCACACGGTACAGGGGCCCAAGAGCTTGAACCATCTTCTGCTGCTTTTCCAGGCCATTAGCAGGGAGCTGCATTGGAAGTGGAGCAGCCAGCCCTTGAACCAACTTTCATAGGTGATGTTGTGGCTGCTGGTGGGAAATTTACTTCCTATGCCACCATGCTGGCTCCAACTTCTTAAATTCTTTATTTAGTGGAGGATTAAGGTATAAAGAAAATTTAAATTATGTCACTGTAAAAGTTGAAAGGAGGAAAAAAAACCACCAAAGCAGGAAAGTAGCTAGGAAGGAAGATAATAGGTTAGCTTAGCTGTGTTCAGGATACTTACAGGAATTTAAAGTGGAGGCATCTAGAAGACAGGTGGGTACGTCAGTGTAGCAATGGGGAGAGAATTGGAGCTGGAGTTTTGGGAGGCATTAGTCTAGAGTGTGAGACGGGAGAAGACAAACAAGAAGGCAGCAGACAGGCCCTTATTCTCATGAGTACAGCTGGTATTTGTGGCTCTCACTTGTGGACTCCAGGGGACATTTTCTCAACAGGCCATTTCTCAGTGACTCGAGCCTGGCTCTGTTTTTCTGGCTCTTTCCCTTCTTAGGAGTCACTAGATGGGCACTGTGGAGCAACAAGTTAAGGAAAGGAGTGTTTGTTGTTATATACATAAGGTAGGTAAATTACTTGTACTCTATTCAGTCCCTAAGCCTACAGTCCACAACTTCATGTGGAATAATTCCAACTTTTTAGTGCCAGTTCATCAGTACCCAGGCTCTCCAGCCACCAGCAGTCTTGATCACCTTTGTGGAGAAAAATAGTCTTTTTTCTTCTCACTGGTTAGACAAGGTATCTGAATGCTTTATGGCTTGCCAGTTTTGTGGTTTACTCTACTGA